AGAAAATCATTCTAACTGTAAAACAAGGGTCATAGTTATTATATAAATTTCAATTTAAGCCTTGAAAGGAAGTATAGAATCCTCAAATAATTTTCAAATTATTATTTTTTTATTTGTCCTAAGACATTTAAATCATTTAATTACCATCCTTTTATGATTATTTGTTCAATTTATATTTTTTTTATATTCTTTTAAAAATTTTCATTATTATAAGGAAAGTAACTTAAAACAGGATAAATCAAGGGAAGTAACCCCATTAATACACAGTTTTTGTTACACAACGGCAGTTAGCCTGAGGTAAAAATCGTTGATTACCAGTATGTTTGACACCCAAGCTGACAAGTGAAGCCATTTAATTATGCATGTTAATTGATTTACAGGTAAAATATAACTTCAGGTAATGTCAGTTACACCAGATGCCTGAGATGATATGTTGGGCAGAAATTTTTCATTCATGAAAAATTTCATACACTGGATTTTTTCCTCTTCAACGGGAGGTCGGGAGGAGACCCCTGAAAACGGGATTATTGTACTTCCGTCCGAGGGAGGTTCACATGTATGCTATTCAAACCATATCATTATTATTTGCTTTTATATATAAATCAGAAATAACCAATTTAAAATGAAAAATTTTAAAGAAAAAAAATGAAACCCCCCCCCCCCCCCCCAAATTTTGTGAACCCCATAATGATTCATCACCCCCAAACTCAATCCCAGCTTTCCCTTTGTGGTATGGTACCTTGCAGTACAATTTCAGAGAGATCCATACACTTGAACACAAGTTATTGTCTGGAAACTAGAAAAATGCTTGTTTTTTGGCCCCTAATTACTAAAATTTTGAGGGAATTACCCTCAAAATCAATCCCAACCTTCCCTTTGTGGTATCGTACCTTGCAGTACAATTTCAGAGAGATCCATACACTTACACACAAGTTATTGTCCTGAAACTAGAAAAATGCTTGTTTTTTTGCCCTTTTATGGCCCCTTATTACTAAAATTTTGAGGGAATTACCCTCAAAATCAATCCCAACCTTCCCTTTGTGGTATGGTACCTTGCAGTACAATTTCAGAGAGATCCATACACTTGAACACAAGTTATTGTCTGGAAACTAGAAAAATGCTTATTTTTTGCCCCTTTTTGGCCCCTTATTCCTAAACTTTTTGGGCAATTACCCCCAAACTCAATTCCAGCTTTCCCTTTGTGATATGGAACCTTGTAGTATAATTTCATAAAGATCCATACACTTACAAACAAGTTATTGTCATGAAACTAGAAAAATGCTTGTTTTTTGCCCCTTTTTGGCTCCTAATTCCTAAAATTTGGAGAAAACTACCCCCAAAATCAACCCAGTATTCCCTTTGTGATATGGAACCTTGTGATACAATGTCAGAGAGATCCATACACTTACACACAAGTTATTGTCATGAAACTAGAAAAATGCTTGTTTTTTGCCCCTTTTTGGCCCCTAATTCCTAAAATTTGGAGGCAATTACCCCCAAAATCTATCCCAGCATTCCCTTTGTGATATGGAACCTTGTGGTACAATGTCAGAGAGATCCATACACTTACACACAAGTAATGTCTGGAAGTTACAAAAATGCTTATTTTTGGCCCCTTTTTGGCCCCTAATTCCTTAACTGTTAGTACCATAACCCCCAAAATCAATCCCCACCTTCCTTTTGTGGTATAGAACCTTATGGTAAAATTTCATTGAGATCCATTTACTTAAACTAAAGTTAGAGTGCGAAAACTAATGTGTCTTCGGACGATGACAACGACGACGACGCCAACGTCATACCAATATACGACCACAAAAATTTGTTTGCGGTCGTATAAAAATAAAGATAACTACAATTAATAGAGTATTATGTTAGAGAATACTAGTTTTCACTGATAAGAAGTACTGCACATATAAATACTGACTAATCAAATAATCAACTTATAATTGCCTTATACATGATATAAAAATTTAAATAAGATGTGGAATGATCACCAATAAGACAGCTATCCACCAGAGTTCAAATGAAATGGATGTTAACATTTATAGGTCACCATACGACCTTGAACAATGTGGACAACCTGTACAGTCAGCTATAAAAATCTACAGCATGAAAAAATGTGAAACAATTCAAGGCAGAAAATCAGACTATCATTTATAACAAAATAATTATAACTAGAGGTTCTGAAGAGGCTGTGTCGCTCACATTGGTCTATGTGCATATTCAACAAAGGACACTCTCAAACATTGTAGATAAGAATAGAATTCATGACAAAAATCTCTGTTTTGTTGATCATGCATTGCTGATCATTTTGTCTGATTAGTTTCTCTCTACATGTATCTTTTTTACATTTTGCTTATAACTCAAAACAGGGTAAAAAAAATCCCCATTTAAGGGCAATCACTCCTATGAAGAGTTACAGTCTACTAACTATATTGGCAAAATTGAAATGTGTTGGTACATCTTGCCTTGCCAATCATTTTTGTGATTTAAAGTGTTTATTTATCTATTATAATTTTTATCATATTTAAGGCAAAACGCAAAAAATGGGTAATAAACTGTTATCACAGAGATATGTCTCGCCTTTTTGTAATTTTGATAATGCAAATGTTGAAATTAAAAAAGCAATACTTTAACATATAAGTTATGCAAATATTCAAAGTCGATGAACCATGACTGAGGTACATGGCTAAACAATCTCCATGGAATGAGATGTGCCAATGCTAATACAACTGCATACCAAATACCACTGACTTATTATAAGTTGTTCCCTTTAAACAAACCTAAACACAAACATTAACTTGTAAACTATGTAAAAGTTTCAAAGTCAATGAACCATGATCAGGGGTGGGGCTATATAATCTCCATGGAAACGATACTTGCAAATGCCAATAAATTTGCATACCAACATGACCAAATATCATTGACTTAACATTAGCAGTTCATCTTAAACTGATCTAATCACAAACTAATACATGTAAACTAAGCAAAAGTTTCAAAGTAAATAGACCATGACTGAGGGGGTGGGGCCAAATATTCTCCATGGAAATGAGATGTGCTAATGCTTATACAACTGAACACCAATTAACATTGGCCTACCACTAATGGTTCCCCTTGAACTGACCTAATCACAAACTAATACATGTTAACTTAGCAAAATTTTCAAAGTCTATAGACCATGACTAAGGGGGCAGAGCCAATTAATCTCCATGGAAATGAGATATGCCAATGCCTATACAACTGCATACCAAATATCATTGACCTACCACTAGTGGTTCCCCATAAATTGACCTAATCACAAACTAATACATGTTAACTTAGCAAAATTTTCAAAGTCTATAGACCATGACTAAGGGGGCGGGGCCAAATAATCTCCATGGTAATGAGATGTGCCAATGCTAATACAACTGCATACCAAACATCATTGACCTACCACTAGTGGTTCACCATGAACTAGACCTAATCACAAACTAATACATTGTTGACGCCGTCGCCGACGCCGGAAACAGCATACATATGTCTCGCTTTTTGACTCCGTCAAGGAGAGACAAAAATCATCATTAAAGGGCAATAACTCCAATATGGAGTCATCATACTTTTCCTCCATAAAGTCTTAATTGTAGAACTTGCTGATCATTTTTGCATATATCTAAGTTTTTATTTGTCTATTATTATTTTCATAATATGATAAGGAGTTGACTGACGATTTCGACATTGCACTTATTTGTAAAACTTGTCCTGCTGATCACTTTTGCCTATCTATCTATTCAAGTTTTTAAGATATCAGGCAAAAAAGCAAAAAAATGGTGAAAATCACCATTAAAGGGCAATAACTCTAATAAGGAGTCCAATGACGATTTCGATCATGCAGACTTATATGTAGAACTTGTCTTGCTGATCATTTTAGCTATGTAATTTCTCTCTATCTATTATAGTTTTCAAGATATTAGGCAAAAACAAAAAATATGGTAAAATTTGTCATTTAAGGTTAATAATTCTTATAGGCAGTCGTCTGACAGTTTTGACATATTATGATAAGTGGTAAAGCTCAACATGTTGAACATTTCTGTTTTCGTCAGATTTTCTCTATTTATAACAGTTTTCAAAATAATAGACAAAACATGCATTTTACCACTATGTTGTTTTTTTAGCCATGTCAGCCATTTTGGTTGGCAGGCTGGGTCAACGGACACATTTTGTAACTAGACACCGGCATGATGATTGTGGCCAAGTTTGGTTAAATTTGGTCCAGTAATTTCAGAGGAGAAGATTTTTGTAAAAGTAAACAACACCAGACCCCAAGTGATAAGAAAAAGCTCACTTGGTCCTTTGTAACCAGGTGAGCTAAAAAAACAAAAATGACAGATAGGAACCAATGACAACCACCAAACAAGACAAACATACTGTACCTGATGTACACCTTTAATTCATGACCAGTGATCTCCCCAGGCACAGTGACACGCTATAATTTTTTTTTTCCGTGACGATATAATAATGAATCAATGGTTGTAAATAGGAGAACAATCAAGGCCCCAAAAGCATTCATTTCTTTAAGGATTTGAATTTAAGCATGGATGCAATTTGGGTACTCCTCATTACAAAAATTGACAGTTTGGAGGTCTGTTCAAACCCATTTTTCTATGATTCAATATGGATTCAAAATTAAATTGGTGGAACCATATAGTAAATAATGAAACATCTACAAAATAAACACAGAATGGAAACTTCTGTCTAGACCATAAATAAACGTAGGTGAAAAAACTGTCAAAATAGGTGCAATTTGGGTACCCTCACGTTAGCTCCATAAGGGGATCCTGCCCCCCCCCCCCCCCCCCCCCCCCTAAATCCTCCTCTGCCATACGAGAAATATATCTTAGTTTATACTTTTAAAGTAAATATAGATGAACTCTAATCGATGTGAACTGTATTATCGCAAGTTCGTATCTTTAAATAGATATAGACATTCCATTACATAACATTACATAATTCTATATATAACATTGAAAATTTCCATCAAGCAGATAACTGAAAATGAAAGTAAAATTTATTTTTTGGAAATCTCTCTGACAGTTTTACTACAGAGTTGACAAAGATTGGAACAGTTTTGGTCTGGTAAGTAATTTTATAAGGATAATGGATTGAAACTCTATACAAGGTGATTATTTGGTCATTTGCCCGTATCAAGAATATGTTGCCATACATCGTTTTAACACTAATATTTTGTGATGGACAAGCTACGCCAAATGCCATTAATGAACTCAAAATTTGATTAAATCAACAAAGAGGTAAAGGAAAAAAACAAAAAAATAAAAAAATTATCAGTCGAAAAAATGCACTATGCCATGACAAAAAATTCTAACAAAAATGATAAACAGTCTACAAGACACTACATAAAAAACTAAGGACTGAGCAACATTACATTAACTCCATCTAAAACCGGCTTGGACCAAAGGGGTGGGGGTGATTTCAAGTGCTCCTTAAGGGTTAGCAGAACCTTTTTCACTAGTGTAACCGTCGTGTTTCTCGTGAAAAGTTCAAATGTGATAAGTCGCATTCAGTAATGTCACAATAGAGGAAAAGAAGACGGGATAGTGGCTACGACAGGTGGAACATACCTGTGGTCCACTGTGACATACAATGGAGATCACTTCTAACCTCTCATTAAATCTGTCAGAATATGTCAGGAGAACTGTTCTAGGACAGTATGTAGAACTGTCATCCTGACACCTTTTAGACAGTTCTAGCTAGAACAGTTCTAACCTAGAACTGATTTGGTAAGTTCTACCTAGAACTGATTTAGACAGTTCTACCTAGAACTGATCCTGACAATTCTACCCTAGAACAGTTTTAGACAGTTCTACGACTAGAACAGTTCTACGGCTAGAACAGAACAGTTCTACGATTAGAACTGATTTGGTCAATTCTACGGCTAGAATTGATTTAGTCAGTTCTATCCATAGAACAGTTTTAAGAACTCTTTGTCTTAAATATAAATAGTTCAAAAGAATATAATATATATTAAAAAATTGCAGTGACGTCAATTAGAACTGTTCTACAATCCTGACAGGTTTGGTCAGTCCTACGGCTAGAACACATTAGACAGTTCTGCTGACAGTTCTACGGTTAGAACTGATTTGGTCAGTTCTGCTGACAGTTAGAAGTTACGAATAGAACTGATTTGGACAGTTCTACCTAGAACAGTTTTAGACAGTTCTACCTAGAACTGATTTGGTCAGTTCTAACTGATTCTGACAGTTCTACTTAGAACAGTTCTAGGGTAGAACTGTTATAGGACAGTTTAGAACAGTTCTATGACAGATTATTCTGACAGTTCTAATGAGAGGTTAGAAGTGATCTCCACTGTAGATATTCTATAATTGACCGTGTAACAAATCATGTTTGCGTCAGTAAAACGTTCTAAGGGTCGACTTTAACCATTTGGACCCTTGGTTTAATAGTCTTTTTTGTAAGCACCAAACCTATATATCAAGGAAAGCATGTCAATATATGCATGCTCATAGAAATTGAAAATTTTCAATTGTACAGCTGAAATCATCTGTTTCCCCCTTAAGCTTAGTACTCAATCGACCCTTATTGTCAATTTCTTAATGTAAGTCGAGATGGAACGAGCATACTTTACTGAATCTGTGGTATCCCTATATTTCAAGTTCCCTGGGACAGATTGGTTCAACATAGTCATCAAAGTTCTAAGTATTTAAGTGAGAGGACATCAATTATTCAGCGGAACTTGATGCAATAAGAAAGCCCTAGTTTCTTTTAATTCTTCCTGAGAAGAACCTTGTGGCGTCTTCCGGAGCCCTTATATGAATAACTGAACAGATTAACTGGAAGAACACAGTAGGTTACAATAATCATGCCGATAGTTAAAAAAAACCAACATCATCCAAACGTAAAAAATATGCTGTCAACAAAAAAATCATGTACCTTGTTGATGTCAATTTCCAAGATCCTTTTGTTTAAATCAGACTTTTTTTTTACAAAACATGATTTATCCCTTTCTGAAACAAGGTATTTGTATCTACGTTGGTCATTTATTTTACAAAACCAAGTTCGACTACCTATATTTCAATCTCTCTTAAAATACAAGTGTACAGGTTAGAGAAATCAAATGTGTTATTCTAGACCACAAGGAAAGAGACTTAAATTGTTATACTCTAACAGTTCTTTGTGATGTTTTAGTATTCACTATCTGATTCACACCGATCCTTATAAAGTAGGTAGTTTCACAGTAACTCTGAATCCCGGTTTTCATTGCTGATAAAATAAACGTTAACAATTGGATAGGGTTTTCGCGGAGCAATATCTGTCCATACATCAAGATTAAGGATGTACTTAGGTCAGGGTTAAGAATTTTTGTCAGATGTTCGGACTCCTTGTTTTTTCCCTACCATACAGGGTAAAATATTTTGCCCCATAACACCCATTTTTCTTTTCATGTAAGTCTTCAATAGCTCATAAAAAGTCATTTACCAAAATTATGAGCAAATTCTAGATTTCTTTTCTTTCTATTTGAGACCCAAATAATACCAATGCAAATGTAAGGTAAAAGTCCGAGTCAGCCTTTTCCCGCCATTTAAAAAATAATAAATATCTCGAAAAGGAGCTTCATAACCTATCAATATTTTTAGCTTATTTTGTTCCTTAACTAATGCTCTTCTGACTTATAGTATCAATTTTAAATTCAAGATTTTTTTAATTTCGCCTAAGCATCCTTAAAAGAGAGAGGATTGATAGTGTAACCCACATTACGTCTTCATTTGCCTGAAATAAGTCAGAACCATCGTTATTGGTTGTCTGTAATACTGAATGTGATGTTGATGGCAGATACTTGTTAGGTTTTAAATTAATTCACTTCATTTCCAGACTACGGGCGATTAAGAGCTTGCTATATATTGTATAGACACCTATCACATGCTGAAAATGAATTGACAAACAACCCCTCTCCTTTCATTCATTGATTTACATCCAACCTCTCCTTTCATTCATTGATTTACATCCAACCTCTCCTTTCATTCATTGACATACATCCCAACTCTTCTTCCATTCATAGAGGAACAGCCCACATCTTTCATTAATTGACCTACATTCCACATCTCTTTTCATTCATTGACATACATCCCACATCTCCTTTCATTCATTGATGTACATCCCACATTCTCTTTTCATTCATTGACGTACATCCCACATCTCCTTCCATTCATTGACGTACATCTCACATCTCCTTCCATTCATGGACGTACATCCCACATCTCCTTCCATTCATGGACGTACAATCAACATCTCCTTTCATTCATTGACCTACATCCCACATCTCTTCATTCATTGACATACATCCCACATCTCCTTTTATTCATAGAGGAACAGCCCACATCTTTCATTAATTGACCTACATCCCACATCTCTTTTCATTCATTGACATACATCCCACATCTCCTTTCATTCATTGATGTACATCCCACATTCTCTTTTCATTCATTGACGTACATCCCACATCTCCTTCCATTCATTGACGTACATCCCACATCTCCTTCCATTCATGGACGTACATCCCACATCTCCTTCCATTCATGGACGTACAATCCACATCTCCTTTCATTCATTGACCTACATCCCACATCTCTTCATTCATTGACATACATCCCACATCTCCTTTTATTCATTGACAGACGTCTTACATCTCCTTTCATTCGTTGACTTTCATCCCACCTCTTCTTCCATTCATTGACATACATCCCACCTCTTCTTCCATTCATTGACATACATCCCACATCTCCTTTCATTCATTGACGTACATCCCACATCTCTTTTCATTCATTGACGTACATCCCACATCTCTTTTCATTCATTGACGTACATCCCACATCTCCTTCCATTCATTGACGTACATCCCACATCTCCTACCATTCATGGACGTACATCCCACATCTCCTTCCATTCAAGGACGTACATCCCACCTCTCCTTCCTTTCATGGACGTACATCCAACATCTCCTTTCATTCATTGACGTCGACCCACATCTCCTTCCATTCATGGACGTACATGCCACATCTCCTTCCATTCATGGACGTACATGCCTCATTTCCTTCCATCCATGGACGTACATCCCACATCTCCTCTCATTCATTGACGTACATCCCACATCTCCTTTCATGGACGTACATCCGACATCCCCTTTTATTCATTGAAATACATCTCACATCTCCTGTCATTCGTTGACTTTCATCCCACATCTTCTATTTTTCATTGATGTACATCCTAGATCACCTTTCATTTATTAACATACATCCCACATCTCCTTTCATTCATTGATATACATCCCACATCTCCTTTCATTCATTGATATACATCCCACATCTCCTTCCATTCATTGACGTACATCCCACATCTCCTTTCATTAAATGACATACATCCCGAATCTCCTTTCATACATTGACGTACATCCCACATTTCCTTTCAATCTTTGGCGTACGTACTTGCCACGTCTCCTTTTATTTATTGAAATACATCCCACATCTCCTTCCATTCATTGACTTACATCCCACATTCTCTTTTCATTCATTGACGTACATCCCACATCTCCTTTCATTCACTGACATGCATCACATTTCCTTTCAATCTTTGGCGTACGTACCTGTCACACTTCCTTTCATACCTTGATGTACATTCCACCTCTCCTTTCATTCATTGACGTACATCCCGCATTCTTCTTTCATTCATTGACGTACATCCCAAATTCTCTTTTCATTCATTGACGTACATCCCATATTCTCTTAATTCATTGACTAATATCCCACATTCTCCTTTCATTCATTGACGAATATCCCATATTCTCTTTTTATTCATTGACATACATCCCATATTCTCTTTTCATTCATTGACGTACATTCCACATTCTCCTTTCATTCATTTACGAATATCCCATATTCTCCTTTCATTCATTGACATACATCCCATATTCTCTTTTCATTCATTGACGTACATCCCATATTCTCTTTTCATCCATTGACGTGCATCCCATATTCTCTTTTCATCCATTGACGTACATCCCATATTCTCCTTTCATTCATTGACGTACATCCCATATTCTCTTTTCATCCATTGACGTGCATCACATATTCTCTTTTCATCCATTGACGTACATCCCATATTCTCCTTTCATTCATTGACGTGCATCCCATATTCTCTTTTCGTCCATTGACGTGCATCCCATATTCTCTTTTCATCCATTGACGTACAGCCCATATTCTCCTTTCATTCATTGACGTACATCCCACTTCTATCATTCATATTACTAGTCCTATATTTATGTTGATTTCCTTTGTTATACCTACAAAGACACATTATTCTGCCACAAACCCGACCTTCAAAGTGCTGCGTAGTTGACGAAAAAGCAGAAAATGTCAATTTTCATGTCTTTGGCTTGGCCCAGTCATTTATCTTACCCACAACCTCCCGCACGCGGCTACCATAAGATCACAGAGGTTCATATTTTTGGAAATAAGTTTAGAAGTCTATTGGTAATATACTTTAAGGATATCTTAAAAAAAAATAGGAGACACCCTCATCTTCATTGTAGAAGGGTTGTTAAGAGGCACCTCAATGTAAAAGGATTGAAGCCTTGATTTGTAATATAATAACTGGAATGACACTGGCGGCCAATGACGTTTTATTCAGGCAAAATTTAGTTCATTATGCAATCACGGTTATACAATAGAAAATTCGAAGCATCGACGTAGACTTAATAACTAAGGAAAAATTTACTTGCGTCAAACTAAATTTAGTACAGGATGAATTTGGAGATCTTCTTGGTGACAAATCGAGAAACTATTTCATTCAAATTAATCTAACAAGTCGAAAAATATTTTCATAATACTGGTACACCGGTAGTCTGTTTATTTGGATTATATAAAATTATTGCATCTTTATCTGAGTTTGAAGAAAATGAATATGTAATGAAAATAGTATTATATATTAGTGTTATATATTAGTGTTATATATTAGTGTTATATATTAGTGTTATGTTATAAAACAATTAGGTGTAGTTCACGTAGTTACAAAAATATATTACCTTTCATAATTAAAAAAGATAAGTTTTATTTTTATCATTATGTCGGCAGAATTCCCATTACTTTGCAGCTGAGCATGTGAGTTGTAGTTTTATTTTTATCATTACTTCGGCAGAATTCCCATTACTTTGAAGCTGAGCATGTGAGCTGTAGTTTTATTTTTATCATTACTTCGGCAGAATTCCCATTACTTTGAAGCTGAGCATGTGAGCTGTAGTTTTATTTTTATCATTACTTCGGCAGAATTCCCATTACTTTGAAGCTGAGCATGTGAGCTGTAGTTTTATTTTTATCATTACTTCGGCAGAATTCCCAATACTTTGCAGCTGAGCATGTGAGCTGTAGTTTTATATTTATCATTACTTCGGCAGAATTCCCATTACTTTGAAGCTGAGCATGTGAGCTGTAGTTTTATTTTTATCATTACTTCGGCAGAATTCCCATTACTTTGAAGCTGAGCATGTGAGTTGTAGTTTGATTTTTACCCAGACTAGTAAGATATTTTGCAAATGTTGTATAGTGAAAGGAGAGATTATCCATATAAAATAAGGAGTAGTGGTATGATTGCCAATGAGACAACTATCCACCGGAGTTCTTATGACGTGTATTTAAGAAGTTATAGGTAACCTTCAACAATGAGAAAAACCCATACCGTTTAATAATCTATAAAAGGGCCCGATGTGCATCATAAAAAATTCAAATCTCTTTTTTGAACCACAAATTTTAACTCAGAAGATTAAGGGAAGTTACGTCTTCTTAATCCTAATAATTTACTATAAGCTAAGGTTTACGGTATAATATCGCCAAAACATTTTCAAAAATAGAATTTTGACATTTGTTTCAATGAATAGCTGATTTATGGTAAAGTGTTAATTTTTAATGTCACACTTCATTACTCGTTTGAAGTTTTTATACGACCGCAAAAATTAAAAATTTTTTGGTCGTATATTGGTATGACGTTGGCGTCGTCGTCGTCGTCGTCGTCATCGTCGTCGTCTGGCGTCGTCCGAAGACACATTGGTTTTCGCACTCTAACTTTAGTTTAAGTGAATGGATCTCCATGAAATTTTACCATAAGGTTCAATACCACGAAAGGAAGGTTGGGATTGATTTTGGGGGTTATGGTACCAACAGTTAAGGAATTAGGGGCCAAAAAGGGGCCAAAAATAAGCATTTTTGTAACTTCCAGACAATACCTTGTGTGTAAGTGTATGGATCTCTCTGACATTGTACCACAAGGTTCCATATCACAAAGGGAAGGCTCAAAATTTTAGGAATTAGGGGCCAAAAAAGGGCCAAAAAACAAGCATTTTTCTAGTTTCATGACAATAACTTGTGTGCAAGTGTTTGGATATTTCTGAAATTGTACTACAAGGTTCCATATCACAAAGGGAAAGCTGGAATTGAGTTTGGGGGTAATTGCCCGAAACGTTTAGGAATTGGGGGCCAAAAAGCACATTTTTCTAGTTTCCAGACAATAACTTGTGTTCAAGTGTATGGATCTCTCTGAAATTGTACTGCAAGGTACCATACCACAAAGGGAAGGCTGGTATTGAGTTTGGGGGTGATGAATCATAAGGGGGTTCAAAAAATTTGGGAGGGGGGATTTTTTGTTTTTGTTTTTTTTTTTTGTTTTTCCTTTTTTTTTTCTTTAAAAATTTTCCATTTTAAGTTGGTTATTTCTGATTAATATTTAAAAGCAAATAATAATGATATGGTAGGAGATACACACCAAACAGGATGTGTAAATTATTATATAATAAGTATTGTGCAATAGCAAGAAATTTTTAATTGCACAGTATTGCACAATAGCAAGAAATCTTCAATTGCACAGTATTGCGCAATAGCAAGAAATCTTCAATTGCACAGTATTGCGCAATAGCAAGAAATATCCAATAGCACAATATTGCGCAATAGCAAGAAATTGTCAATTGTACAGTATTGCGCAATAGCAAGAAATATTCAATTGCACAGTATTGTGCAAAAGAAGATACTTCGTATAAATTGCTTATTTCTTGATCAATTTCAATGGGGTTTTATTCTTGAATTCTTGGGGTTCTTTAATATGCTGAATCTAACCGTGTATTAAGTTTTTGGATTTTGGGCCCCATTTTTAAATTGGTCCACATTGAGGTCCAAAGGGTCCAAAATTTAACTTTGTTTGATTTCATCAAAAATTGAATTATTGGGGTTCTTTGATATGCCGAATCTAACCGTGTATTTAGATTCTTAATTTTTGGTTCCGTTTTCAAATTGGTCTACATTAAGGTCCAAAGGGTCCAAAATTAAACTTAGTTTGATTTTAACAAAAATTGAATTTTTAGGGTTCTTTGATATGCTGAATCTAGACATGTATTTAGATTTTTGATTATGGGCCCAGTTTTCAAGTTGGTCCAAATCGGGGTCCAAAATTAAACTTTGTTTGATTTCAACAAAAATTGAATATATGGGGTTCTTTGATATGCTGAATCTAACCATGTATTTAGATTTTTGATTTTTTGGGCCCCATTATCAACTTTGTCCACATTGAGGTCAAAAGGGTCCAAAATTAAACTTTGTTTGATTTCATCAAAAATTGAATTCTTGGGGTTCTTTGATATGCTGAATCTAACCATGCATTTAGATTTTGGATATTGGACCATAATAGGTGAATGTCCAATTTAAAATTTTTAAGTTCTTAGACCACA